GAAAAAAGGCTTCAATTTAATATAAGTGCAATGACTTGAATATATATTTCCCTCTTTTGAATACCAACACAAAAATATCTTTGCTGTCCTTGCACATAAAAATTTCAATGTCATCTTGTTTACTTTCTGCATGTAGTTTTTTACCACTTAATTCTAAAGTGATGTATATTTCATGTCTAAAGGCCAATATCCTCTGCCCCTAAACACCTAATGTGTATATACACATATACATATATATCTTATCATTCAGCATATTATTACCATATGGATCATTATCATATCATGTGACAATCATTAATTAAGCAATCCAATTAATATTTGCTCTATCACCTATCATGGATAAGCCATTCTGCTAAAGGAGCTAGAGAGGTAAGTAAAACAGTTCTGCTCTTAAGGAACTTGCTAATGTTGAAAGACTTCAAGAATTTATTTATTTATTTATTTATTTTTAAGATTACAAGAATTTAATATAAATAAGACATGCCAGAGTCAGCACAAGAAAAGTATAAACACTAGATTCAAAGAAGGTAAAAATTTCATCTTTTGCTGAGATAGTCAAAAATGATTCATGGAAAGAAACTAAGGATTAGCTTGGTTTGATGGGATTTAGTACAGCAAAAGAGAGAGGGGAAGTGGGAAAAAGCAGAAGGGAAATTTAGGAAACAGGGGTCTAGTTTGGCTGGAACAAAGTATACAGCATGGAATGGTGAGCGAGATTGCTAGAAAGTTAAGAGCATTAGGAGATCCTAAATTCAGCTACATTTTTAATAGGAAGCAACATAATTGAAGCCACATTTTACTACAAATAACCTGGCAGTGGCTATTTAGGACAGATTTAGATGGGGAGAAAGTAAAAGCAAAGAGACCTGTTAGGAAGCATTTACAGAATCTAGGCAAGCTGTGATTAGGACCTGAACCAAGCAAGCACCACCTTTCTGCAGAAATGAGAATGCCAGAAGGAAATAATTGGTAGCACACCACCACTGTTCAAAACCAGAACTCACCTCCATGGTTCTACTGCTCCCTCCACTCTGGCTCCACTGTCCATGATGAGGGAGCCAGGAGGGCAGAGCTGTTGGGCAAGTAAATACAGATGGCCAAGGCACAGACAGCCACCAACAAGGTGTTCAGTTAAAAGTCACCTCAGAAAACAGAACAATCTTGCAAGCCAGCTAAAATACTTTAATTAGCAACTCTGAGTAATAACCATTACCTAAATTTATTCTGTATGCATTTTTTAAATTAAGTCAAGGAACATTTCCCCTATCTGGCAATGTCACAGTGCATCAATGTCAAATTTATAAAAGTTAAATTAACTTTTTTGAAGGAGTGCTCGCTTCTGCAGCACAATAGAACTTTTTTGAAGGAAAGCTAAAATCACCATAAATGAGCCTTTAGTGCCCCCTTGTGGAAGGTTTAGTGTGAGCTTTGAAATATTTACCTTCCACACGGAAGCAGTAATGGGTTATTTCCATCTTTTAAGATGTTTAAACTACTTTTTGTATATGTTATACTACTTCTAAGAGACATAATTTAAAACAAGGCCACATAAATAATTCAAACAGGAAACAGAGACTAAATGTTGAAAATGTTCGGCAAATTTTTGTCATAAATTTATGAGTTTTGTTTCGTGAATCATAAATTAAGCAAAGGTAATGGAAAAACTTAGCTTTACACAGTGCTAAGTAGTATGAAAACTGTCTTCTCAATAGCACTCCTACCCTAAAATTATTGCTAACAAATCCTTAAGACTTCATTACGTATTTAAATACCTGGAATAATTGTAAACGCCTATATTTGTGTCCAGAAAAATGCTCGTATAAAATGATCAGGTAATTTTTAAAGTATTGTTTCTCTTTATATCACTTATCACAAATTTCTGACCATTTATCTTCCAAACTAGGGGATAAGAAATAGGAAATTCCTGTCTTTCCTAGAGACAAGTAGAAGTCAAAAGAAAGAATATTTCTATCCATTAACTAGCAAGGCTATCAAAAATAGAAAGGTTCTTATCCTAGATTAGTAGAAGGTAAACTGTTGGTTTTCCCCGTATTTAACACTCATTCTTTCTCTTATGTCTTTATTTTTTTTTTCTGTCTTTATTAAACAATGGGAAAAAAATACAAAAATAAAGTGTCAAATTTAATCATCCCTATTGTATTGGAATCTTCTTGGGAACATGGAGATCTATCAGTAACTGGTGGATTTTTTGTTACTCAATAATCAAAATCTGTAAGAATGTAGTGATTACTAGAATGTGTTAATACTTATTCTTGTTTTCATGCCTTGTGTCTTTAGGTTACAAAGACCTTGGCACTGAAGCAGGAGCCTTTCTCTGGAACTGAGTTCTCAGATAATAGTATATTCATGCAATCCACTTATTTTTCAAATTATAAATTTGTGAGGAACTACAAGCTAAGGAACTACTTTAGGGAAGAACTGTTTTAAGTTAGAATTTTTCCCTAGCATACCAATAGATTTTTCTGTAATGGTAAAACAATCTTCCATTTAAGACGTGGTAATTACGTGCATATTGAATTTATCAAGGGAGATTCTGCAGAGTTTTGTCATGTACAAATGGCAGACTACCTCTGGTGAAATCTTGGATCCCCCACTTGCTATCTGTGTGATCTTAGATTATTTAACCTGATTCTTGGCTTCCTGATAAATAAAAGGAATAGGGTAATAACTGCCTTACAGAGTTAATGTGAGGAATAAATGAGTTAACACATATAAGGGATTTAGAACACTGCCAACACAGAGTAAACATTCAATTTATGATTGGTTGAATTTTTTTCAAGCAGACACTTTTTACAAGCAAATTGGAGGTTGGCTTTATAGTGTCATTCAGCATAATGCTAAGGACATTAAGATCATATATTATCCCCACAAATGGTATTTTGTTTCATCCTATTCATATTTAGCCAAATGAGCAGCAGTACAGATTAGTGTAACAGAGTTTCAACAGTGATCAATTCTTTTTTTTTTTTTTTTTTTTTTTTTTTTTTTTTTTTTTACGATAGTCACAGAGAGAGAGAGAGAGGCAGAGACATAGGCAGAGGGAGAAGCAGGCTCCGTGCACTGGGAGCCTGATGTGGGATTCGATCCCAGGTCTCCAGGATCGCGCCCTGGGCCAAAGGCAGGTGCCAAACCGCTGCACCACCCAGGGATCCCCCAATTCTTTTAATTTCTCTCATTCTAATAGACTGGGTAGCCACAAGACCACAAAGGTGGTCACAGGGAGAGGGCAATGTGATTGCAACACATAAGACAGCTGCAAAGTTCTTCCTAACGGACAGGAAATAGGATTCCAGATTCTTACATTGCAATGCTGACAATTTCAAGTATAAAGAAGCAAAAGAAATGCTTATTCTTCCTTTTTCACTTTCTGTAATAGAATAATAAAAATCCATAGGATATTGGAAAATAAAGATTTTAAATTCTATAAAATAGAGTATTTTGCCTTTCATTTTTCAAAAACATACCATGAAACTGGATCTGCAATTTTTACAATATATGAAGTCACTTCTGGAATGGCATTTAGGCCAGGCAGAAACTAAGAACATAAAATAGTGAAAATGTTCATATGACAGAAGATATGATTTGATCTAAGCCGCAGAAAGAGAGGTCAAGGACAGGTAGTCAGATTAGATCAATGGTAGGGGTTAATGGAACAATGTTAAGTATATTGACCCTGATGTAGAGGATACCTCAGGAAACTAAATAGACACTAAGAACTAAACTTGATTAGAATCAACTAAATCAGAAATTTTGATTTAAAATTTATAGACTGTGTAACTTATTAAAAACAACTGACAATTTTATTTATATTTATATTTAGCCTCCAAAAATTCTTTGTGGAATTAGAATGGATATAGATAAAATTTAATATGTAGTAGTTAAAATGTTTAATGAGTTAAACAACAATTTTAAATTTAGGGCAGATTTTTCCAAATATATCTTTATCTAGGGGCACTTAGGTGGCTCAGTTGGTTAAGTGCCTGACTCTTGATTTTGGCTCAGGTCATGATGTACATAGATACATACACACATCAGTTACCTAAAGACAAAAAAAAATATGAAACCATCTTCAAATGTTCCCCTGGTCTTAGCAATTTGTTCAATAATATAACTTACCTCTTTCTTGCTGCTATTCTATAAATGGACCATGCTACCTTAAACCATTTTTGGAAAGAGGTCCATTATAAACAATTTAGTACATTTTCTTATTTAAAAATAAGTCTAAAACTACTTGTTTTTAAAAAAATCTTTTCTAACTAGTTCAAATTTGTCACAATACTAATACCCAGGCTAGATTAAACAAATGGAATCTGTGATTATAGTTCTGGAATTTTAAAAAGTGCTTAAATGAAATACATGATTTATAAGGGTTTATTAACTAAGATTCTCATGGTGAATAGCAACATATGTCTAATAATTTACTTTCTATATCTTCTTAGTAATCAATATTAAGTAAATTTTATTTAACCAGAAGTTTGTGCACATATGACACTCACTATATTTAACTATTGAAATTATAGAAGAAAATTCAATAGAACTTCCGAAAACATTTTATTTATATTTCATTTCAGTCAAATATTCATCTTCTAAGGCTATAAGGCCATCTGTCTCAAGTTCAAAATTTGTAATATTATTTGGAAAACTATTTTTAAAAAGTGTTTGAAGAACATTTCAACACAGAGTGATGAAATGCACAATTTTCAAAGGTTACATGAAACACTTAAGTACATATATATGGTAACATTAAAAATTCTTTATTTAAAACCACTTATTAAAATGGGAAAATGTGACACAGTAAAATAAAATTTTTTCAAACTCATCACTAAAGAATACAGACATAGATTATGATATATACAAAATAGGAAATAAATCATCATCTGTCATTAATGGGAAATTTTCCATGCTTTCAAAATATTCATAATTTTAAGTCAGATAAAACACTGTTTAGGGGGAATGCTTCTTTTATATTGAAAGTCTCTTTAAAGGCGTCTTAAATTCTGCTTACTCTGGGCACTTCCTGGAAGAGCATCTTTTCTATTTCTTGGCTTTGCTGCTCCTCTATTACATTCTTCAGACCCATGATAAGCACATAAACATAACACACAAAAGTCAAAACCACAGGCTGTGCGGCTACACAGTCCCCTTTTCTTAAATGGCTGGTACTTAGCAGGGCATTGGCACCTGGGGCAAGGTTTTAATGCTTCATCAATAAATAGTGTTTTGGCAACCTGCAGTGAAAGCATACACACTAAATCTTCCAGTTTCATACAGAGAATCATTTTATTTCAAACTCTAAATATTTAATTCTAATAACTTATGATAAATACTTACCTTAACATATTCTTCCTGTTTACTACTTAAGTGAGTAACAGAAGAGCTTGCTATAGGTGTCAAAACTTCTCCCCAAGGAGAAAATGTTGAAACTTCTCCTTTCTGAAAACCTGGTATCCTAGCCTGAGCTTGTACAGATTTTAAAGCTGATCGATTTATAAGATGGAGCCGAGTGGCAGCATCCTCAACATTTAATATAGCCCCCTGCGGTAAAAGATAAGAGGGGTCAATACTGTAATATTAAAAGTTCCAGAATAGTTTTCTGATACACATGTATTTAAATATTGAAAGTGACTTCACACTGAATTTCACTAAAATTTTCTCCCTAAGCTTTCCTTTTTAGAAAAAAATGTTTTTCTCTCATCTAACATTTAAATGTCAAAGAAATATAAATGAACAAAATTAAAACAATAAACAAATTAGCTTTAAGTTTGCATGATTTGTTATTTTTTCCATTTAAGGCATGGGTTAGCAAACTTTTCCTGAAAATGGCCGGATAGCATATATTTTACATTTTGCAGGCCAGATAGTCACAGCTACTGAAACGCCATTTTAGCAAAAGCAGCTATAGAGATATGTAAATGAAAGAGCAAGACTATGTTCCAATATGACTTACTTTCAAAACAGAAGGAATGGACAGGATTTGGTCCACAGGCTAGAGTTTGCCAACCCCTTTTTAAGTCAAGGTTTAAGAAGAAGTGAATCTTTGTAAAATTTGCTATGGGGTATCATGGAATTCCTTGAAGGTTTCTTACCTTAGCCACGTGTCAGAAGAACAATGGGCCTGGCTAGACCGTGAAATCCAATTGGTTTGGCTAGTTTCTACAATACGTGCAAATACTGGAATCATTTTTACACTTACATTTTAACAAACAAGATTTGATGTTTGAAAAGCAGAAAAAAAGGTATCTCTTATCTGAACTGGATTTCCATATTACTTAAATATTTAGCCAAGAAATTTTTTTTCGTTTTTTTTTTTTTTTTTTTTTTAAGATTTTACTTATTTATTCATGAGAAACACAGAGAGAGAGTCAGAGACATAGGCAAAGGGAGAAGCAGGCTCCCTGGAGGGAGCCTGATGCAAGACTCAATACCGGGACTCTGGGATCATGCCCTGAGCCAAAGGCAGACGCTCAGCAGCTGAGCCACCCTAGGCATCCCCATGAATATTTTCAATAAGCCTTCTATTTTGTTGGAGTTGATAATGGGAAAAAATAGTTGGTTTTTTTTTTTTTAACAAATTGGTGTTCTTAATCAATTATCAAAATAAAATCTACTGAGTGAATTTCCTCATGTGTTTAACTAAAACTGTGCTTCCTCTTCCTTGATAGTCTCCCTTTGTCACAATTGGCTCCTAACAGTGAGGAGAGAGAAAATATAAGAAATTGTAGAAGGATGAGTATAGGAAGTAAGATTAGCTGGTCATGAAAAATTCCATGATTAACAGTTTAACAACATATGCATATGTGTAATGGATATCGGTTTTCCAAAATTAGAATGAATACAACTGAGTTTTTTCAAGGACTCAATATTTTCTTTATAGTACGTCTGTATAAATAATTTGCAGCCTAGGACACAAGTACAGGACACAAGAGCATACCAAAATTTTGATGGATTTCAATGCAGTTGGTAAACACAGTGATTGTGTATAAATCAAAAAAATGAATAGAGATACATTGTTGAAATAGATTTCAGCCAAAGAATAAACATTCATTTATTTAACAAATATTTACAGAACTCATAAAGGTGCCAAGTGAATAAAACAGTCTAATCCCAGTCCTCCTAGACTTTAAAATGTGTGCTACCATCTCTGAACGATAGGAGACAAAGCAGTCAACCAAGGCACATGTTTGTGAAGGCCAAAATTTTTCAAACATAGTCACATCGTGTTACCAGAAAATATGTAAATGTGAGAGTAGAGTCGCCATGTGATTGTTCATTTCCACGATTATAAAAGAACAGCGAAGAATACAGTAAATTAAGAAATTTGATGGAAAAAGCATATCCCAATTCTAATGCTCATTCTCATGGCTGCAAAGCAAATAGATAAAATTGAGATTCTATTACATGTAACCGGTGTGTGCCTTCTAACTCTCACACGTAAGGAGTTTTCAGAGAAATTACACAAGTATGAGGAAAACCCTCAAACAACTTTGTCTTATAATGTTTCCATTGAGTTAATGATAGACGTTAGGAAAGTTCAAGTGGAAAGCAACCAGTCCATATCATAACAGGACAGCAAAGTGCACCAGGAAGGGTGTCTCTGGGGAAAAGAAGGAAGAAACAGGAAGAATACCTGATTTGTCTGCACTTACACAGAGGAGATTTCCAGTTCTGGTGGATAATAGAAGATGAATCAGGGATCTGTACAGAGAAACACTAAGCAAAACAAAAGAAACTGGGCAATTATTAACTCTGGGGGGAAAAAGTTATATAGGAAAAAAGGTCTAATCATAAAGAACTGCATGTTTCAGCTGTCAAAAACTCATAATCTCAATACGGTCTTAATGTCAGCTCCTAGTTTTGATTTGTGCCTAAATGGTAGTGTGATTATATCAGTGAGGCAGTAGAAAAGGAGAAAGGAGTTCAGAGAGACAGGTGGGTGGGGTAGTAGGTAGTAGTGGTGAGAGTTTAGAGAACAAACTCTATAAAGAAAAAAGCCAAGAAATAGCAGTAAAGCCATGCTAGTTAGAAATGTGGAGGTAAATCTCAGAAGGAACTAAAGAGTTGAAAGTGATTAACTTGGAGCAAGAATCAAAAGTACAAAGGGACAGGCAAGAGAATGTGTTTTGTTATAAGCCTCATAGTCCAACTTGACTTTTTATTTATTTTTTTAATTAATTAATTAATTAATTAATTAATTTATGATAGTCACACACAGAGAGAGAGAGAGAGGCAGAGACACAGGCAGAGGGAGAAGCAGGCTCCAAGCACCGGGAGCCCGACGGGGGTTTGATCCTGGGTCCCCAGGATCACGCCCTGGGCCAAAGGCAGGCGCTAAACCGCTGTGCCACCCAGGGATCCCAGCCAAGTTGACTTTTTTAACCATGTATTTGTTTTATTCTGAAAAAAAAAAAAATCTAAAAAAGAAACCAAAATAAGAAAAAAAAATCCAAGTAAGGGAGAATGTATAGTCCTTCAAGAAATAAAGTTGGAAAAAAAAAAAAAAGCGGTGGCCAGGATACAAAGACAGAATATTTTATCTAGAATTACCTGAAGTGTTGCCAAACACAACCACGTTTTCTTTCCTTGTAGGATGTACAATGTACATGGAGCTAACGGTTTAATATTAATAGATACTTACTTAAAAATTGTTTTTTAAGTAAGTCCTTAGCATATAGAGCAGCACTCTAAAAACATAAGAATTTAAGAAGGCAATTAATATTTTCTCTCTTATAAGCAACAGCAATAAGTAGCCAGGAGCTGTGAGTAAGTTGTAAGGCAATATCATAGGTGAGAAGGTAAAACTTTTCTTCAAAGTAAAACAGAAAACCAACATTGTAGTTAAGTACAGTCCCTAATATTTCATTGTAATGAGAAATCCACCAATCTATCTAGGTATTTATATTTGTTTATACCATGTTTCATCTCAATTATTATATTGTCAAATTAGAAATTTACTTGTTATTTAATGCTTTTCTCTAGAACAAGAACAAGAATTCTTATGGATTTTCTTTTGGTATTGATTGCTAAGAAAGGTCTAAAAATTGCATATACCATACATATGGATTCCAGAGTCATCAGATGCCTATTACACAAAGTAGTATCCCTAGGAAGACTTAATCAGCTTCTGCAGGACTTTTCCTGTAACTTCAAATCTGGTTCTCAAATCTTCAAGAAAATACAAGCTAATGGTGCTTTACCAGTACTAATCTGCCACAGTCACTCATTTCCAGACTCATTTCCAGTCACTCATTTCCAGTCACTCATTTCCTATGCTATTCTCTCTGCTGAAACACTCCTCCCTGTCTTCACCTGGCTAGCCACTCACTCACTCCCTCATCCTTCAAGTCTCAGCTGAGTTGTACTTTTCTGAAAAGCCTTCTCTTGATACCCAAGTATCAAATACTCCTTTTAAATGTTCCAAAAGAACTAACTCTGGGCTTCCCGACACATCTGTATTATAATCACCTGTTTATTCATATCATCCCCAGGACATGAACAGGGACCATTTCAGAAAGACTCACCATTGCAATCTGAGCAAGTGGCACATAATATCCACTCAAAAGACTGGATATAAAGTGTTATGAGGATATCTACTTACGAATAGGATCCAGCATAGCACTGGTATTAAAACCCTGCTAACAACACACACACCTAAACAACAAAACCCCACAAGACGCTCTTGATGCTAGGTAGTCTACATTTATGGACTGGAAGGAAATGGAGTTTGGGAAAAGTAAAACATTCATGAGTGAATGTTTGCTCAGTGAAAAGGGCCAAAAGATAGCAGGAAAACCATATTAGGTCGTCCAACAATATTAGATTATTTTTATTTTATTTTTTTTAAATTTTCTTGATTATTATTTTTATAAATCCATCTGAGAAAAGTATTATATACATTACCGCAGAATCTGTTTTCAGTTGTGAGATATAAAATTTCCTCCTCCGATTTGCTTTTTTATCTTGAACAATAATTTCACGCCAATTTCTGCTCACTTTCCAAACACTATAATAAAAAGATTGGTCTTCATATTATATACATTCCACAAAATTAACATTTTTTGCATTTGGCAATTAATAAGAAAAACTTGCTTTAAAGATTTTGGACAGTAAATTTAAACCTAAAAATTTACATTAAAAGTATGACTTGATGTACATAATTTCATATTGTTTTATCCTATGAAAGAATTCCCATTAAAATACTAAATATATGTCAGCATTATATCAATAGATTATCTTATAAATGATTAAGGGGAAAACATAGTTTCCTATTAAGGCAATATGAGTCCACTGGGAGACTAAGAGGATTTTTAACTTCAAATGTGAGACTAAAATTAAAAATCTGGAACACAACATGTAGAAAACGATTATCATTTATACAGCACAAGAGGTTTCTATCTGTTCCTCCTATTTAAGGTACTTAACAAGTCTATCATTTTGATTAAACAAACATAAGAACTATCAATAATTCATTGGATGTACTAAGTGCCAAATACAATCATTAATTGGTAGCACTACAAAGTTCCTATTTTATAAACCAAAGTTGATGAGAATGAAGAAGTTAAAGAAAAAGAGTCCAATTTAGGGACGCCTGAATGACTCAGTGGTTAAGCATCTGCCTTCAGCTCAGGGCATGATCCTGGAGTTCCAGGGTCAAGTCCCACATTGCGCTCCCTGCATGGAGTCTGCTTCTCCCTCTGCCTATGTCTCTGCCTCTCTATCTCTCTGTGTCTCTCATTAATAAATAAAATATTTTAAAACAAGAATCATCAAGACAGTGTGGTACTGGCACAAAAACAGACACAATGATCAATGGAACAGAATAGAGAACCCAGAAATGGGCCCTCAACTGTATGGTCAACTAATATTCAACAAAGCAGGGAAGAATATCCATGGGAAAAAGGACGCTGTCTTCAATAAATGGTTTTGGGAAAATTGGACAGCCACGTGCAGAAGAATGAACCTAGAGCATTCTCTTACACCATACACAAAAATACACTCAAAATGGATGAAAGATCTAAATGTGAGATAAGAATCAATCAAAATCCTAGAGAAGAACACAGGCGACACTCTTTTTGAACTTGGGCGCAATAACTTCTTTCAAGATACATCTATAAAGGTAAGGGAAACTAAAGCAAAAATGAACTATTGGGACTTAATCAAGATAGGAAGCTTCTGCACAGCAAAAGAAACAGTCAACAAAACTAAAAGACAACCCACAAAATGGGAGAAGATATTTGCAAATGACTATCAGATAAAAGGCTAGTTTCCAAGATCTAAAAAGAACTTATTAAACTCAACACCCAAGAAACAAACAATCCAATCATGAAATGGGCAAAAGAACAGAAATTTCACCAAAGAAGACATACACATGGCCAACAAGCACATGAAAATGCTTCACATCACTTGCCATCATGGAAATACAAATCAAAACCACAATGAGATACCACCTCACACCAGTGAGAATGGTGAAAATTAACAAGACAGGAAACAACAAATGTTGGAGAGGATGTGGAGAAAGGGGAACCTTCTTGCACTGTTGGTAGGAATGTGAACTGGTACAGCCACTCTGGAAAACTGTGTGGAGGTTTCTCAAAGAGTTAAAAATAGAGCTACCCTACAATCCAGCAAGTGCGCTACTGGGGATTTACCCCAAAGATACAGATGCTGTGAAATGCCAGGACATCTGCACCCCAATGTTCATAGCAGCAGTGTCCACAATAGCAAAACTGTGGAAGGAGCCTCGATGTCCATCAACAGATGAATGGATAAAGAAGATGTGCTCTATATATAAAATGGAATACTACTCAGCCATTAGAAAGGCTGAATTTGCTTCAATGTGGATTGAACTGGAGCATACTATGCTGAGTGAAGTAAGTCAATTGGAGAAAGACAATCATTATATGGTTTCACTCATGTGGGGGAATACAAGAAAGAGTGAAAGGGATTATAGGGGAAAGGAGAGAAAATGAGTGGGAAAAATTAGAGAGGGTGACAAAACATGAGAGACTCCTAATCTGGGAAATGAACAAGGGGTAGTGGGAGGGGAGGCAGGTGGGGGGATGGAATGACTGGGTGACAGGCCCTGAGGAGGGCACTTGACGAGATGAGCATTGGTGTTATACTATATGTTGGCAAATCCAACTTCAATAAAAAATATATGTATATTAAAAAAATAAAAATTTCAAAGAATAGTCACTCTCACCTGGAATCACTATACTTTTGTTTTTGAAAATAAAACTATTTATCTCCAATTAAACAAAAAGAAAAAATATAATTTATATCCAGTGATTGCCTATTTATCAGTAACTTTGGCTTTACTGATTATTAAAGAATAGATAATCTCTCTGGTCTTTTTTTTAAAGATTATTTATTTATTTATTCATGAGAGACACAGAGAGAGAATGAGAGAGAGAGGCAGAAACACAGGCAGAGGGAGAAGCAGGCTCCATGCAGGGTACCTGATGTGGGACTTGATCCCAGGACTCCAGGATCATGCCCCGGGCCAAAGGCAGGCACTAAACCACTGAGCCATCCAGGGATCCCTTTCTGGTCTTTTTTATTACTTAAATCACTCCAAGGGAATAAAAGATCAGACAACTAAAAAAGGTCACTTGTTGTTATGGAGATAATACTTGAGTTGCTAACACTACTGTTCTTCCAGTTACCATGGCCACTTCAGTTGCCTTGCCTCTCCCTAAACCAATACATGTGTCTTATATCAGTGATGGAGAGGAAAAGGCAGAAAGTCACCCATTAATCGGGAAGAAATGAACTATGTAATTGGGTATTTGCCACAGTTATTTCAACTGACCATAGTCTCTCACGTTACCAAAAATAAACACTGCTAACATTATACTTACATCCTGCAGTACAAATACTGTACATTTGGAGGGCTGTGGAGAAGAGGTAATTACAAAAATATGACTGAATATCACCTGCTCCCACAAGTGAGCATCCAAAAATATCACCCAAGTTTTTCACTTGGTCTCTATCCAAACACTACAGCATATAAAAATAAAATTCTGTATTTCAGCCATATCTCCTTGATTTTTTTTAAACAATTTATCTCATTGAACATTTTTTTAAGGCACATACATACAGGTACACTATTTATTATACTACTTGGGTTGCACCAAATACATTCCCAATCACGTTTATTTAGAAAGGCCTTAAATCTTAATATGAGTTTGTGGGAAATCATTGGATTGGAAATCAGAGGGCTCAGGGCTCCTGGGTGACTCAGTCAGTTGAACATCTAACTCTTGATTTCTGCTCGGGTCATGATCTCAGGGTTGTGGGAATCAAGCCTGGCACTGGGAGACTGCTTAAGATTCTTGCTCTCCCTCTGCCCCTACCCCCACTTCTCCCTCTCCAAAATCATCATCATCATCATCATCATCATCAGAGCCTCAATTATAGACCTAGATATATTCCTATCTCTTTGAAAGGCTGTTGGCTCACTTAACTTCTCTGGAGTACAGTTTTCTCATCTGTAAAATATGTGATTAGACTAGATGTCTCAAAAGAGTTCCAGCTATGAAATTCTACAATTCTCTACAATCGCCTACAATTAATTTGTGGAAGAAAGGTGAAGAAGGGCTTTAGCAGAAGTAGTAGCCATAAAAACAGCAAGATTCTATGAACCAAACTCTTGACATATCCCTATCAAAATCAAATTCAAACTTTCCTGCATGTCCTCCCCCAACCGTCACCTTGCAGAAGTCCTGTTCACAAGGGTTCCCTCCTTCCTGGTATGGCATTCCCAAGGGTCTTGTCTTCTGATAGTTCTGCAACTCCCCCAAATTGCTAGTATGAACACAGTATTTATAACCCTAGCTCCCACTGTCAATACTCCTAAATATCTGGTTCTCTTATAATTAAAGAAGGCTGCAGAAGAGGGAGCAGGAGGAGGATTGGAAGGTGAGCATTCATGAAGTGTGCTCCTCACTGGAGTCTGGTTGGAGCATGCTGAAGAGGATTAAAAACAAACTGCCAGAGGGTCAGGAACCAGTTCGAGGTACATAATTAGTAGCAGCATTCAATACACTGAAATCTCCATTAATACAAATTCTTCAGTTTCTACTTTCTTGAAATTCCCAAAAGTAATTAATTCCACTGCCTATTAGCAATAAAAATGAACTAATCCATATTCCCTTGGTCTGTGGAAAAACTAAGCCCTAAAATGAAAGCTAACCATCATTTTGTAGAATTTAGATGAAATAACTAAATGGTATCCTTTGTATGCTGTCATTTCTTAGACACCATAATACTTTACATTATTTCTGGCCAAGTATCATAACTTTAATACAATTTGCAATCTGACAGTGGGATGTGAACTATTAAATCATTAAATAACTCTTGTGGAATATAGCTTGCTATCTTGAATATTTATTTATTTATTTATTTATTTATTTATTTATTTATTTATTTATTTATTTATTTATGATAGTCACAGAGAGAGAGAGAGAGAGAGAGGCAGGGACATAGGCAGAGGGAGAAGCAGGCTCCATGCACCGGGAGCCCGACGTGGGATTCGATCCTGGGTCTCCAGGATCGCGCCCGGGGCCAAAGGCAGGCGCCAAACCGCTGCGCCACCCAGGGATCCCGCTATCTTGAATATTTAAAGTTCAACATTTAGAAACTCTCTTCCCAAATGGCAGTAACATGAACTTTATCCAGAAGACTATATTGATGCTTCTAAAACAGGATTTTTTTTTTTTTAAGATTTTTTTTCTTGGGGCACCTGGGTGGCTCAGTCAGTTAAGCATCTGCCTTCAGCTCAGGTCATGATTGCAGGGTCCTGGACCAAGCCCCATGTGGGGCTCCCTGCTCAGCAGGGAACCTGCTTCCCCCTCTCCTACCTCTCCCCTAGCTTGTGCATTCTCTCTCTCTCTCTCTCTTACTCTGTCTCTTTTATTTGAGAGAATGCACATGCACACAAGTAGGGGGAAGGGGCACAGGGCGAGAACTCCCAAGCAGACTCCAGGCTGAGCCTGGAGCCTAGCCAGAGGCAGGACTTGACCCCATGAGCCCTGAGACCAGGACCCCAGCAGACACCAAGAGTTGGACCCCCAACCGACCTGAGCCACCCAGGCACTCCTAAAACAGGGTTTTAAACAGAAGGAACTGTATTAGTAAGCTCTGTTGGGAAGTTCACTAAACCACCTTTGATAAAGTATAAAACAATCAAAGATAGAGATAATAAAACAAAACAAATTAAAAAACAGGACAACTCAACTCACAGAAAAACTTTCCAACTTAAAAAAAAGTGTTAAAAAGAAAAGTGTTAAGAAGAAAGTTTTATTTCAGAAAAAAAAAAAAACGATATATTTCTTACCTGCATAGGCTTTCTGCAGTCAATGAATCTAAAACCATAGCAAGAATATGCTTTAAATTTCTGTATTTTAATTCTGTTAAGATGTCCACCTTTTCTATACCCATTTTCTTGCCAATCAGTCCTGCAAGTACACACTGTAGTACAGCTATCTGGCCCCCATCCGTGTCTTCTAAGAATTCATGTGCAACATTTTGCTGGAATCTTTTTCTTTTGCTTCTCATGAAGAGCTCGTGCACTAACTGCAAGGCTGGGGTCTTTGATAAATTCTTAAAGCTTAAGATCTTATTGTCATTGCTCAGCTGATCCTCCAAGGTATCTGAAGCAGCTGCTGGTGTTGCTTCAGAGTCTGAGTCCTTTTCTGTCTCAGATTGTGAGCTTTGTTCTTGAAGGGTGGACAGTCTTCTCAGCCTTCGAAGATGCCCCGACTTTTTTATGGTGTCCCCCACTTTGACAGTTCCCCTATGTTTCTGAAGTTCTCGAAAAGAACTTTCCTGGTCAGAGAGGGAATCTTCTGATTTATCCAAACAAAGTGAGTTAAAACCACTGTCTTCAGGTGTTGAAATATTGCCCCTCACTTCAGTTGAAGAAGAGAGCCTTTGACTTGCATTAAATTTAATGTTTGCTACAAGATTACTTACTGGAGTCACACATATGTTCTCATCTGTTCCACAACGTGTGCCTCTAGCAGAGGAGCCCAGAAGTTTGGGATATGTATTCTCATTGTTAATAAATAGACTGCTACCACTAAGGTCACATGTGATAGAGTCTTCAGTAAAACTATTGCCCCGAATCGGAGATAAACATTCGACTTCAAACAGGCTACAATCATCTTTAGAATCATCAACTGTGGAAGTCTTCTGTTGAGAAAAATTTAGTCTCAATATTTGACTGCTGGAAGTGGCTTCTTCTGTTTTCAATGTACTAGTAACTAAAGGACTAAAACTGGTTTGCCTTGGAAAACTTGAAGCACTACTTGGAATATTTTTTTCTAAGTTGAGAACTTGGTTTATACTACTTTCTAGAGAACTGTCTTGTGAATCAAAGTCCCCATTTAGAAGAGAGAAAGATATGTCCAACCTTCTGCGCAGCAAAATTTTTTTCCCACTGACTTTAGGGGTTTCACAGAGTTCTGGGGTTTTATCATGTTCCTTCCTAGAAAAGACAAGTCTCTTTTTTTGAGTTGGTGATTCTAAAGGATGAGTTAAACCCAGATTTGGAGTTTCAGGATGTTCATGGGTTAATGTTAAGCCTTTTTCTTTCTTTCCAAAAAATTCTTTATCTGTATTATCAAAGTTGCAGGGTTGTAACAACTCATTATAGCCACTATCTTGAAATGAAGATGTGGAACAAAAATCTCTGAAGCTGGAGTATTTGAAATTGACAGTAGGAGAGTCTACCTCATTTTCTGCGCCAGTGCAAGCTTGACTTGAATGTCTCTCTGACATCTTCAAAATCTGTTTCCACAAAGTGAAAATAAATTTTATTCTTCCATTGAAATGAGTAGCCTCGCAGCTTACACCAAAACACATTACTTGCTATGAATATGGATAATAATAGAAAATGTTATGGCAGTAAAAAGTTACTTTAAAAAATAAATATACTCATATATACTTATGTGTATATTACTTAACCTAATTTTTAATATCACAAAACCCAAAACTTTTGGGTTATACATATTCACAGATTATTTGACTAAGCATAGTCTAAGCACCATGCACAAATATTTTCTTGAACTACACCTGAGAAAAAAAATCTGGCAGCATCATTTTTAGATTTTATTACTTTAGATTTTAATAGCACTAAAGTACATAATTATAGTATTAATATTCTAGCCTATTTGTACTGGCCTATATCTAGTCAGCTGGATATTTCCCTTCAAAGTTCTGGTATATTAGTAAAGCTGCTTAAAAAACTATATACCAATTTTTAAACATGTCTTTGGAAATGTGTCAAATGAGTGCTGCCACTAGATTCAACTGCAACTTGGCTAAGCAGCACCAGGATAATGTAATTCATACTTGTAATGTAGGCCTGTCACAGCCCCCATGACCATTCTCGAGGTCTGAGTTCTTAGACTCATAACTTTGCAAAGACCCCTTGGCTCATTCACCTAAGTGAATGAATTTTAAAAACAACAAATTAGGGATCCCTGGGTGGCACAGCGGCTTAGCGCCTGCCTTTGGCCCTGGGGGAGACCCTGGAGACCCGGGATCGAATCCCACGTCAGGCTCCCGGTGCATGGAGCCTGCTTCTCCCTCTGCCTATGTCTCTGCCTCTCTCTCTCTGTGTGTGTGACTATCATAAATAAAAACAACAAATTGCTACTCCAACCACAAAACAAGTTTCTTTACAGTAAAATTATCATGGGAATATTACCACTGGGAAAAGTATCTAAGTGTTTTTAAACCTTTTGAATCTATATTCAATTTTGGTAAATCTCATACATTAAGATCTTGGTTGTTCTTCTGTACATGGTTACCAGGCAAGATAATCGAACTTTGTTTTCTATAATTTGTATTATAATTAAAAATAATTTTGTTTTCAAAATATTAAGTTAATGACATATAATGAGCTTTCAAATTACCCCTACACCCATGAATATTTCCCCCTCTCTGAGAATCATTCTGTAACGTAAATTAAAATTAGGTCAAGAAACCCTTCCAAAATCTTAGAGCAAATGTAACTGTTCTACCTCACCACTAGGTGTCTCATCGTACTAGAATTTGGGAAACAGAGGCAAACTGTTAAACCGAAATGGGGATACCGTATCATCCTCTTCCCCTACCACCCATAGGCCACTTGATATAAATACATAAACAAAAACCTGTCTACTTATTTTCTGTTCATCTACACAACTGAAATTGTCTCCAACGTACTTTCTCTGCTGTCATCATGTCCATTTTTCTACTATTCCAAGATGTTGGTCTCAAACAAAACATGGTTTTTCAAAACTTAATTTTCAAATCATTTAAAAAAGACTAATGCAAAATTATGAAATGCCCATTGACTTATAAATTTTACCGATTCAACAGTTCACTGATTAATCTAACTCCTTGATACTCATTTTTTAAAACCAGACTCCTGGGTGTTGAGAATACTTATCTCTATGTGCTCTCAAAAAAGAAAAAATTGGGAAGGATGTGGAGAAAAGGGAAATTTCACGGACCATTGGTGGGAATGCGAATTGGTGCAGCGATTGTGGAAAGCAGTATGGAAATTCCTTAAAAATTAAAAATAGAGGGCAGCCGGGTTGGCTCAGCGGTTTAGCACCGCCTTCAGCCCAGGGCATGATCCTGGAGACCCAGGATTGAGTGCCACGTCGGGCTCCCTGAATGGAGCCTCCTTCTCCCTCTGCCTGTGTCTCTGTCTCTGTCTCTCTCTCTGTCTCTGTCTCATGAATAAATAAATAAAATTAAAAAGAATTAAAAATAGAACTATGATACAGCAATTCCACTTCTGGGTATTTATCCAAAGAAAATAAAAATACTAATTTTAAAAGATATATGCACCTCCATGTTCACTGAAGCATTATTCATAATAGTCAAGATAGGAAGCAACCTAAGTGTCCATTGGTAGACAACTGATAAAAACGTGGTACATATATGCAATGAAATATTACTCTGCCATAAAAAAGAATGAAATCTTGCCATTTGTGACTACAAGCTTGGATTCATAAGGTATTATGTTCAGTGAAATAAGTCAGACAAAACCAAATACCTTATGATTTCACTTACTGTGGAATCTTAGAAACAAACAAAACAGACTCAGATACAGAGAACAATCTGAAGTTTTCAGAGGGGATGGGGGTAAAGGGTGGTCAAAATAAGTGAAGGGGATTAAGAGGTACAAACCTCCAGTTATAAAAGAAATAAGTCATGAGTTTGTAATATACATCTTAGGGAATACAGTGAATAACATTGTAGTAACTTTTTATAGTGACAGATAGTAACAGATAACAGACCTTGGTAGGTGTATCAAGTTTTCGATCATTACGAAATGTATAAAAATATAGCATGCTATGTTGTACACTTGAAACGAATATAATATTGTATGTCAATTATATTTCAATTAAGAAAACACTTGTTAGAGAATGAAATACTATTTAACTATATTAAAACCAAATTTTCATTTAAGGGGAAAATCTTACCATCAGTAAATCTTGAGCTCTTAGATGTCAGTTATGTGAGCTTCCAAACAAGAAAATCTTTCACTTTGCTTTTAAAACTCATGCCAAAGTATTACCAATTTAAAACTTCAGTTTGGACCATTGAAACGTGCGACAGACAGCATGATGGCTGCTAAGATTTGAAAGGTACATAAAATACATACTGCAGGGATTATTCCTAACATATGACAAGGCCTAAATCATTCTGAATTTCCTTCTGCTTTCCAGATAATAGTAATTTCAATATCCTTGTTCCCTCCCGCTAGTCTTGGAACTGAGGAACCTTCCCAAATTCGGGTTTCTGAAAATGCAGCGTAAGCCGGAGCGCCTTACTCCCGGAGGTGCTCCCAGCCGGCAGGTGGTTAACGGTCTCAGCAGGGCGTCTTTTGGCCCCGCGCGTCCCTCTCGGACCTTCCCAAGGCCCAGGGCCCAGAACGCCACCGAAAGGCGGGGGGCGGGGGGCGGGGGGCGTCCGCCGGAGAGGAGCGAGCGGGCAAGAGAGCCCGCCTTCGGGGCGCCTCTGTCCCTGCACCTGGAAAGCAAAGGCCCGCACACTCGGGCCCACCTGGACACCTGGCCACGGCCGGGCGGGGGGTGGGGGGGAGGGCACACTGGCAGCCGCTGGGTGCTCCAGGCAGGAGCCACCGCCTCGCCCCCAGGGATGCCGGGCTGTAGCAACCCCCGCGCGGGTTCGCGTGGGGCCGCCGCGTTTCCCTCCTGCCGTTTGAACTGCCCGCCTCGCGTAACCGCTACGCGCCGCCCCGCCCCGCGCCGCCCCTTCCTCTGGCTCCGCGGCGCCCCCGCCGGCCTTCCTGCGACCCGCAGGCCCCGGCCCGGCTTCCCGGAGGTCTGGTCCTGCCTTTCGTACCCTTCCCCCCCTACCCAAACTCAGCCCTACTTTCCCACCTTCCCAACCCCACCAAAGCTCAGCCCGCCCTTTCCCAGCCTTCCACTCAAGGCTCAGCCAGGCTTCCTAATTTCATGGGCTCTGCCTCTCCCCATTCTCACCTTGGGGAGCGTTTTAAGGGCCACTTGGTCCTACAGTGAGATACCATTAAAAATAATGCCCGTGAATATTCCCTTGAAAATGTTTCCTGAGATTGCCAGGTATGAAAAGCAGGTTACAAACCGAATAACGCCTTTGAGTAATACAGATGTACACAGGATGAATTCTGAAAGGAACGACTAACTTGGTTACAGTATCTCTACACGGGATTGTGCTTGATTATGCTGGACGAGATATTTTCTGCTATTCACTGGGTAGGTTATTCTATGCCAGGCTCCATCCTTCTGCTCTTGGCAGCTTCCTCCTAGTCTCCTTTTTTCTGACTTTTTTCTCTGCCTTTTCCCTAAATGAGACGTCCCATCTCAGCATTTTTTTTAACTTTATGTATTTACATAATTCTTGTGCAGAACTTCACTCATTACTTTTAAGCCAATAATAGCAGCTACCACCAGTCTCCTCCAACTGGACATTTATTTCTCATCTGAATGCCCTTTGGTCATCCAAAATGGAATATATCTAAAATCAAACACACTAACACTTATGAAGTTCTGCTCTATGTGCCAATCACTGGGCTAGGTACTGGGAATAAAAGATAAGTACAGCACAGTTATGATGTCAAGGGGCTCATAAGTGCTGTAATACAGGAACAGTAGTAGTACAAAGGAAAGAGGATCAACTAACCCTACAGAAGAAGGATGGAACTAACTTTATAAAGACCATGACTTGAGGTGGTGGATTTTTTTTAAAAAGATTTTATTTATTCATTCATGAGAGATGCAGAGACAGGCAGAGGGAATAGCAGGCTCCATGAAGGGAGCCTGACATGAGACTCGATTTGGGGTCTCCAGGATCACACCCTGAGCTGAAGGTGGCACTAAACCACTGAGCCACCGGGCTGCCCTGAGGTGGTGGATTTCGAGGGACAAATGGCAATGTAAAAGTCAGACAACAGGTGACTTCAATCTCAAAACAAAATGTGCACGAGCAGGAAACCTCAAACAGTTGGGCAGATTTTAAATAGTTTGTTATGGCTAGAAGCTCAGATTTGAGGAAAGGGCAAAGAAAATTTCTGAGAAGGGGAAGCAGCTGAATCATGAAGAATTTGGGATGCATTTAAGAGTCTGAAGTTGATCCTCTAGGTATCGTAGAGCATTTTAATTTTAGAAAGATCACTCTGGCAGAATGGAGAACAGAAGAAAAAGAGCTGAGGGTGGTTGCAAAGAGACCACTTAGGAAGCTACTGCATGACTCTGGAAGCCAGTGGGGAAGAAACTAGACTCAACACTCAGCAGAACCAGGTGCATGGGGCAGGGATTGAGGAAGCACAGAAGACAGGTTTGGAAGAAAATAAGATGAACTTAGTATGAGGTCATTAAGTTTCAGGCACCTGTAAGATAAGGAATTGGTGAATTACACATGCTTCAAGATAGCACCTCTCTGAAGACACCCACACATACCCAGGTAGAGTAATGCCCTCTCTAGCTCTTCAGACAAATCTCTATTATGGCCATTTTGCCCTTTCCCCTACAGCATTTGCAATCCTCCCTCTATGCTGAATTTTCTCTGTGTAGTTTATCACCTCCTAAAAATGTTGTATTACCTGTTTAATGTCTGATCCTCCCTCTCACTATAATGTAAATAGGGCAGGGAATTTTGCCTATGGTTTAAAATCCACACAATCCCAAATACCATTTAAACATTGCTCTTTTCTCTTTCTCTAGTTAATTTTTCTTTAGGTATTTTATTATGACTGAAGAGCAAAAAAGTGTATCATAACTCCCTATCATTTAAAGAATAATTTTTACTGCCCCCCCCCAACTAAAAGGGCAAAAGGGAACCTAGTTACATGTAGCTTGTCCTGGCTTTACTCATATTCCCCAAATATAAGTCGCTGAGCTATATTTTCCTATTCTTTACCTACCATGGTTTTTGGCCTTTTTGCTTCCTTTTCTAGTTTGGATGTCACCCCATTACTTATACCTCAAAATTCTAAAACCTGTTTTCCACAAGATGTAATTCTTCTTCCAGCAAAACATAAAGACTTTTCCAATCACCATGACATTCAGACTATGCAGAATAAGATCAAGGAAAATAAAAAACAGAGAATCAGAGAGGAAAATAGCAACTTGTATCTCCATTACCATATTTTAAGGAGTTAAAAGCACTAGTATCCAAGATAACAAGACATCTGCCCTCATTAGGAGAGGGAAATGCAGTGATATCTGGCAGAGGGTAAGTTCTCAAGAGAGTTAGCTGTCAGGGACGCCCAGGGCATGATCCTGGAGTCCCACATCCGGTTCCCTGTGTGGAGCCTGCTTCTCCCTCTGCTTGTGTTTCTCCCTCTCTCTGTGTGTCTCTTATGAATAAATAAATAATTTTTTTTTTTTTTAGTAAAAGGTGAAAGATTTATTTGATCTGAAGAGAAGCCAGGGTATAATAAATAAAATCTTTTTAAAAAGCTGTTACCAATGATAATAGTTTACATTGGCCATGCTTCATGGTGATCCTAAGACTGTTGGTTCCTCCTGATAGGAAAGAGGGTGCTGGATTGAGAACTAGCATCAACATGGGCTCTTGTTGAAATTCTGGATCTCCTTGATAACACCTGTAATTACCCTACCCTTCCATAGGGTGCCAAGACCCATTTACATTCTACATGTGCTGATCCAATCTGATCCCCATAGACATCTAATTATGTACTAGAATCCTCTTTTTTTTAAAAAATTTTTATTTATTTATGATAGTCACACAGAGAGAAAGAGAGAGGCAGAGACACAGACAGAGGGAGAAGCAGGCTCCATGCAGGGAGCCCGACGTGGGATTCGATCCTGGGTCTCCAGGATTGCGCCCTGGGCCAAAGGCAGGCGCTAAACTGCTGCGCCACCCAGGGATCCCCTAGAATCATCTTTTAAAAAAAAAAAATTTTTTTTAAATTTATTTATGTATGAGAGACACAGAGACTGAAAGAGGCAGAGACACAGGCAGAGGGAGAAGCAGGCTCCATGCACCGGGAGCCCGATGTGGGACTCGATCCCGGGTCTCCAGGATCGCGCCCTGGGCCAAAGGCAGGGGCTAAACAGCTGCGCCACCCAGGGATCCCCCTAGAATCATCTTGATACCACAACTTGGAGAGTTAGAATCTGGTAAATTTTGCAATGATTAAAGTTATACTTTCTGGATCACTCCATCATCTTTCTCTTATGTTAACAAGAGTTTTATCTAATAACTCTTGTAGGAAAGCCTATTTTGACTGTTCTATTGCATTACCCTCTTTGGTCGAGAGGTGAGGTACTTTGTAAGAGAGGTAATGGTCAAAATTTTTATGCTGTACATCATTCTGTGAAAGAAGCTAGAAAATCCATTATGTTTCCCTGGAAATTAAATAACTGACAGCCAGGAAGACTGGAAAGCAAAGATCAAGTTAAATCTCCCTGCCCCATCTGTAGAGGTGAGATCAGTTGGAACTCCTTCTGGAAGTAAAAGGAGAAGCTCAAAGTTCTCAGGTTGCTGGACGGGAGACTGGCGAACAATACATTCTGCTTAATAAGAAACCAAAGACATTGCCGATGCTGGGGAGAAGGAAACCTGTTTCTCTGCTCAACTATAATCGCTATTAACAACTGATGACTTCCTAAATTTTGATTACTTCATTTACTTCTTCCTCCTAAGTAAAAACCTGCTGTGAAAGCAGCAAACAAATGTACATATTGTGACCCCAAGAAGCTATTAGTCTCGCTGATTTTGATGTTTCAAAAAACACACCTCCACTGCGCAGACGTTTCATCTAGGGAGGAATACATGCGACGGCAGGAAGGTCAGTGCATAGTTACTCCTACCAATATCCCTCCGTTTTAGGTGGAACTAATTGATGTAGCTGCCTTCATACGGCCTTTGCTTTAAAACGAGTAAAAAGAATGGGACAGAGGGACGACAGGAGCCTACCAGAGTTTCGCAAAGCAAAAATGAAGTCATGTGAAGGATAGGGGGTGGCTGCTCCACTGGCCCAGCACAGGTATCAAGCAACTGCAAAAACAATCTGAAAAGTGCTTTTACGTGAAAATCAGCGATGGAGTCGCTGCTTCTGTGTTCCTCAGAGAGACGGTTGGCCTAGGATTCCGGGAGCACGGGTCACTCCGCTTTCTCTTCCAACCCTCAGCCCTCCCGGAGAGGTGTTACTTTCTACTGACTTCATTAGCCAGAATATCTGACTTCCCTCGATTTGAGGAACTACTGAAATGCCTTGCTCTTCTGAAAAGTGAAATAAGTTGGGACAAAACACGAACACTTCCCCACACGGCCTAGCAAAACGGAAGTTCCCGGCTCATCGCCCGAGTACCCTCCGGGTTCCTCGGCCACGCCCGGAGGCGGAAGAAGGGGCGGAAGGGGCGGGGACTCCATGCGTCAAACGCCAGCGCCGGAAGTTGGCTGCGGCACAGGGACGACGAGCTGTAATCCGCTTCGAAGCTCAGAGTAGGAAGTTTCTCCGGGCTGCGTGGTCAGGGAAGTGGCTGGTTAGGATTTGGAGGTGGGTATTTGGATTTAAACTGGTAAGACCCTCAAGGTTAGAAAGGTTCAGTATGAGGTTAGAATTGGGAGGAGCTGGGGATTGAGTGGGTGGTGTTAATCCTTTGTTCTGTTCCGTTCAGTTTAGCTGTTTGGCTTTTGAGAGTTTCTCTCCCTTTATTTTCGGTTCGCATAGCCCTTTGTTGAGGGATATAATTGGCCTTCTGCTAAGTTTTGGAGATGTAGGACTTGTGTTACGATGGGAGCGCAAGCTTTGCCGTCAGATTCTAGTGCCCCCTGCCTCGTCATAGCTGAAGAATCCTGCGCAGATTGACCTCTACAGGGCTGGGTTTCTTCATCTGTAAAGTAAGGATAGTACTTCCAGGATTGTTGTAAAGGTGACAATGAAACAATATGTGTGAAATGTTACTGTGTCCAGTTTGAGGCTAAGTGCACAAAACGTTGTGTTTTTGTTTCGCCCTTTAGCTCTACCCATTGGGTTTGAAAAAGAACAGGTTAGGAATTGGGACCTTTTTAGGTTTCCCTCGGAAAAATGGGAATTTTGGGAAAGTTGGATTTGTGAGGAGTCCCTTTGAGTTATTCAGTATTTGAGTCTGTGATTTCAGGGACTATCAATGGACACCCAGAAGGACGTTCAACCCCCAAAGCAGCAGCCAATGATATATATCTGCGGAGGTAAGAGTAGAACTAACGTAAAGTAGGAAGAGTTTTGAAATAATTACGCTTAACTCTGACTTCAGTGAGTAATCTTTAAAGTTATAAAGCAGAATACTAGCGACTGTAAAAAAAAAAAAATTCTATCACTAAGAGTTCATTTTCTCTCCAAGAAAAAATGCACTGCCCACAACTTTTTTCCTTTGCTCCTTAGTATATTGGTTGTTAAATAATAAAAGTTCAACTGAGTAAATTTTAAAGATGTAATAGGCTTTACTAATGGATTCATGAATCAGGCAGCATCCTGTCTAGGAAGTAGATGGGAGCTCCAAAGGGCTACAGAAAATTAAAGGTAGAGAGGAGTGGAAAAAAAATTATTAGCAAAGGATTCGTTGTTTTACGTAAGGTCGCTGTTCTAAGAGGAACGGAAAAGCAGTAAATTTTCTAATGCGGACAAGGACCATGTTAACTGGTCAGAGGTTATATTTCTGCAGGGTTGAAACTGCGGTTAGGTTATGTGTTAAGTCTTGGTCTACCGACGTGGCACCTTAACCTAAGTGAGGCCATTTGGATATGGAGTCTGGTTTTCTTTTTAACGAGGTCATAGCACCATACTCTTGAGATTGAGTACATTTTAGTGCGTTGGGTGAAAATATGGTTAGAAAAAAAAATTAAAAAAAATATGGTTAGGATAATTTGCTTGTCTGTCATATTTTCCCTTTAGACATTGAATAAACATGCTTTCTTTTTTAGAATGTCACACAGAAAACGAAATAAAATCCAGGGATCCAATCAGATGCAGAGAATGTGGATATAGAATAATGTACAAGAAAAGGACTAAAAGATGTATCCTTTTAACTTGTTACATATGAAGGGGGTGGAAGTGAAGAATAATGCTCCAGTGCTTTGAACTACTTACCAAAAATGATTAGGATTTTTCATAATCCTTTTATTTTTATTTTCATAATAAAAATTAATCCTGTGTAGAGGCATCTACTAAGTATCTGAATACTAGTTCTCATAAGTCCACTTTTCAGGATCTGTATTTAACTTATTTTACTTATACTCCTTCTTGAGTTTAAGGACAAACTAAGTTATACAAGGAGAAATACAAATATTGTGAATGAATGCTACCTAATGGAAAAAGTGAGGCTTACAAATTAGCTAAAAGACTGAAAGTACATTGTTATGTGGTAATTAATATACAATTACAATATTTTTTAAACCAGTAAGTTATCTTGCTAACATTACTTTAGGGGTTTTTGGTGCATTGGTCTTTCATATCATGGAAAGGGGACTAATAAAAATTGAAAAACATTTTTTTAAGTTCATTTCCAACTGCCATAGTAAATAGTTCATTCTTTTTTGCATTTTAGATTAAATAGCTATTGCAAAGAGAAAGTGACTTGGAAGTGTTAAATCCTTCATACGATTTTTAAATATGCTTTTTGTCCTTAATTTCATTTTAATACAGTGGTGGTTTTTGATGCTCGATGAAACATGGAGTTCAGAGGATTATCTTCGTTTGTACCTGGATTTGCTGTTAATGTTGTATAGCCTTTGATTAGTGTATATATCTTTATGAATACAAATACACATAATTTCATTTTAAAATCCATCTTGTATTTAGGTATCAATAGTTTCTATAAAGAAAAGCTTTTTGTTCAATAATTGATAATAACTTACTTTTATTGTATATATAATCTGACACAAGGTGAAAAAGTGCTTCCTTAAACCACACTTTTAATCAAGGCTTAGAATCTTGTGGGGGCCTTGTTAAAAATGAAGTTTTCTAGGGCTCTTTGAAGATCTGATTAAGTAAGTTCCTTGGAAACTACTGTTTTACATCACCAAGTCTGTAAACTCTCCAGCATCATTTTGTTCTGTATATACTAATGTACTTAGCATGAATGCATTATTTTGAATTAAATTTTTCATTTTTCCTTGATATAGGCCTTCTGTATTTGTATATAATGCTTGACTATGTTTTTAAATATTGGCTGAGGGTGGGACGCCCAGGTGGCTCACCAAGTGAGCGTCTGTCTTTGGATCCCAAATCAGGATCCCTGCATGGAACCTGCTTCTCCCTCTACCTATGTCTTTGCCTCTCTTTTTGTGTCTCTCATGAATAAAAGAAACTTTAATGGTTGCATCTGTAAAGCAAAATCAGCCCTAAGTAAAGTACATGAAGCAGATTATTAAGGCAGGTGTAGTTTCTGGGATGTAATCATTAAGGTAAAAAATTCTGCTTTCAGGATATAAAAAAAAATTGGGACTGGTTTACATTGACCTGTGGATAAATGTTTAAAACTTTCACATTAATCTTAGGGATATGGAAACTAAGATAACTCCCATTTGCTCCAGGATTCCATCATTCTGGGATGCCATCTGACATTCATTTCGAAGATTAGATATATTCTACCTTCACTAATAGCTAGCTATGTGTGTCTCTGAATATTCAAAAAATTGTGCCATTTTTTAAAACACCTGAATTTCTACTGCATCCTTGAATACCAAATTCTATATTTTTTTAATGTGCTATACAAAATGCTACCGTGCTCAGATTTTTAAAGAGTGCTTCCTAAGTCCAGGTTCTCCTTTAGCCATACCTTTCATAATTTTGTAATTCAGCTATATTCCTCCTTGACCTTGTCTTTTTTAGGCAAGAGTACCAATAAATATGCTATGACGTCCCATAAACAAACCCTAACACTTCAGATAATGTTGCTCTTTAACTGTTTTGATTTTATCATAGGTTTTTTACTTATCTTTGGTTTAATTTAATATTATTTGGTTAACTAGACCATGGTTTAATGGAAATGGTATTACCACTGGAACTCAAGACCAGCATTTCAAACAGTTACCTCTTTGTGTCCCTTTCATCTATAAAAATGGAAGTAACTTTACCTTTTGCCCACTGGGACAATTTTTTTAAAAAAAGGTAAAATAGAAATAAATTGCTTTAAAAGATTGCTTTGGGGGTACCTTGGTGGCACAGTTGATTAAGCATCTGACTCTTGGTTTCAGCTCAGGTCGTACTCTCAGGGTGGTGGGATTGAGCCCTAGTCAGGCTCTGCACCCAGTCTCGAGTCCGCTTGGGACTCTTTCACTCTCTCCCTCTGCCCCCTTCCTCCCCTCCATACACTCACTCTCTAAAAAATAAATCTTAAAGACAGTTTCAAATAGTGCTCTATAAATATAAGCAAATCTGAGCTTAAAGTTAACATATAACTTGTCCTCTGCTTAAACTGCTTGCCAATAACTGACATGCATATCCATGAGAAAAGCATGGAAATTGGTTCAGATTCAGCCCCTGCTACTCAGTGACTAGCTCATTTCTTTTAATCTCAGCTTCATTTTCAAAGTGGAGGAATTTATAATGGTCAGTACAGTGCTTTGAGACTCTGAAGATATGTTCAGAGATTAAAGTTGTGAAAACTTAAGTAGGTGAAATCAGAAATAGCCAGTCTGGGGCTCCTGCGTGGCTCAGTTGGTTAAGTGCCAGATCCTTGATTTTGGCTCAGGTCATGATCTCAGAGTTGTGAGATTACGATTCTCTCTCTCTTCCCCCTCCTCCCTCTCCCTGTACACACTTCACCTCCTGCTGTTTCTGTCTGCCTGTCTCTTTCAAAAAGAAAAAGCCAATCTTAAAGGGGTCTGGCTGACTCAGTCCATAGAGCATGCAACTCTTGATCTTGGTGTTGTGAGTTCAGGCTGCACTCAGACTGAATTATATAAGGTGAGAAAGTGTAAACTGAGAAGATGTAAAAACCAGTTTCCTCCTCACATAATACAAATACATGGACATCTCCACCCCTCCTAGAATAAGTTCTGTGTAGAAAATTATCAAGAAAGAGTGGTTATTTGAGCCAGAGGGCTGAAGGATGAGAAAGAACCTAACATTGTAAGACGGGGGAAGGAGCATTCCTGAAATTGAGGAAACAGCCAGTGTAATGTCTTAGGGGTGGAAAGTAGTTTGCCTTGTTCCCGCTTTAGAATGAAGCCCATGTGACTCAAACTTTGAGGTAGGCAGAGGCCTGCTTGTTTATGGTCTCATGATGGGAGTAAACAGTAACATGATTTAAGACTTACAAGATAACTTGGGCTGTTCAGTGAGAATAGACAATGTAGGGATGGGTGATGGATGGGGAAGCTGGTTAAGGGCCACCTCTAGTAGTTCAGGATAATAATGATGGCTAGGCCAGAGTGGTAGCAGTTGGAGGAACTAAGAAGTGGGTGGTTGTAAGATAGCATTTTGGAGTTGAGCTAATAGGACTTACTGGTGAATTGGTTAGTACTTAAGAGCTCAGTAAACAGTGTGGACTTTGGTGAAAGGCTTTGGGTTCAAATATCCTGTGTCCTTTGTTAACAGGCAATGTGATTTAACCAGAGTTCACTTTCCTCATTTGTAAGGTAGGCATGAAATAATAGTGCCTATCTCACAGGTTAGTTGGAAAATAAAATGAATCCATAAAGACTCTTAGCCTAATAAATATTTATTATTATCACCGTTACTGTATTTTTTTAAAAAAAGATTATTTATTTATTTATTCATGAGAGAGAGGCAGAGACACAGGCAGAGGGAGAAGCAGGCTCCATGCAGGAAGCCCAATGCGGTACTCAATCCCGGGACTCGGAGATCCTGCCCTGAGCCAAGGGCTCAACTGCTGAGCCACCCAGGAGTCTGACTCCTTTTCTATCTCTGTCACCACTTCAACCCACCTCTCACTCTTGATTCTAAGATGTTTGCAGTTCCTTAAGCAGGTAACATGCCTTATTTCTTTCTTACCTGTGCCTTTCTCATGCTTTTCTCTTTGCCTGAAATGACCATTTGTGTTGTTTTTAACCAACATCAGAATTTTGAAGGATTGTTGTGTAGTTTTCTAGCTTCCAGTATTTTCTTTTAAGATTTTATTTATTTAAGAGAGAGAGAGAGAGAGAGCACTTGAGTGTATGAGTTGGGGGAAGGGCAGAGGGAGAGAGAAAAGCAGACTACTCCATCCAGTGTGCAGGTGAGCAGGGACCATGAGATAATGACCTGAGCCAAAGGCAAACGTTTAACTGACTGAGCCACCCAGGTTCCCCTCAGTATTATTGTTGAGAAGTCCAGAATCATTCTTACTCCTAATTCTTTTTCATTTTTTTCCTGGAAACATAGAATTTTCTTTGCCAGTGTACTGAAATTGTAAAGTATGTGCCTTGGTATGGGGCTATTTTCCACTATTCTGGTCACTTGGTGGGTATTTTCAGTCTGGAAAGTCAAGCTCTTCAGTTCTGGGAAAATTTTCTTGAATTGTTTTTTTGCTTTAAGATTTATTTATATGAGAGAGAAAGAGTACATGTGTACACATTAGGGGGAAGGGGCAAAAAGAATCTTCAAGCAGACTCTTGGCTGAGCATGGAGCCCCTATGCAGGGCAGGATCTCACAAGCCTTGAGACACCACCTGTGCTGAAACCAAGAATTGGGGACACTCACCGACTGAGCCACGCAGGAGACCCTTCTTCAGTTGTTTAATAACTCCCTACCCTCAATATTCTCTTTTTTTTAGATCTTTTATAAAATATTAGAGTTTATTGACCTTTCTTGTCTTTCCTTTTTTCCTGTTCTTTGAAAAATTCTTTTAATTTTACTTTCTAATCCATCTATTGGGATTAGAAATAGTGTAATTTTCTGGTGTAATTTTAATTTCTACAGGCTAATTTTTCTTTGTATATTTGAATGTATATTGCAATGTACACTTTCAAAGAAAAACTAAAATATCCTTGTTTCTAGGGTACAATGTTTTAACCTCTGTGAAGATGATAGTGATAATTTTCATTTGCCTACATAGTCTGTTCCCTTCATATTGCTTTTTATCCTTTTTAAGTCAGCATAAAGTATATGTATGTATGTATATACACAATTAGAACCAGAAGAAAGTATTAAGTGCAAATGAAAAAATTACAGACCATGTGGAATTACAACCATTTCCCCATATACTTAAAGAATTTCCTCCTATTCTGAAAGTAAAATGTCAAGTTACAGTAGTCGTTTTTTTTTTTTTTTTTTTTTTAATTTTAGATTTTATTTGCCAGAGAGAGCACAAGCAGGAGGTGAAGCAGGGTTTCACTCCACTGAGCAGGGAGCCTGATGTGGGGGTGTATCCTAGGACTCTGGGATCATGACCCGAGCTGAAGGCAGACAGTAACTAACAGGCATCCCAGTAGTCTGTGTTTTAAACCTAAGACCTAGTTCTGAGTGAAGTTTGCTTGCTGGAATGAGGTGTGAAGTGCCTTTACATGGACTGGGGTATGTGATGCTGTTTGCCATGGCAATTTAATAAAGCAAACTTAAGGATTACTCTAGAGTTCGAATCTGTGTCTATCAATGTGCAAAGTTAACATTATCTAGCACTGGCAATGGAAATAATAAAAACAGTCCTATTTTCAGCAGAATTTTTGCCACTATCCTTTCCTGATACAGTACTGTAGATCTAATTTGGGTGCCAAGGAGAAAGAGAAATGCATTATTGAATTCCTATTACGTGCCAGACACTAACCTAAAATTATAAAAGTAAATTCATTTCCTAAATCCAACTATCTCTACTATTTTATTCATTTGAATTGTATTATGTCTTACTTGTCTTTGCGTTCCAGTGCCCAGTACAGCGTCTCATTAGCAGCGCTCAGAAGATGTGGAATGCATACAGAGGAAGAGAGAATCTTTATCTTTCATTTACTCTTCTGTGTAAAGGGAAGGATCTAAGTCTGGGTTACGTTGTAGATCCTCTGGTTTAATTATATTTCTGTAGGAATAGTTACCTGTAGGAATTTATATATCTATATTCTGTAGGAATTTAATTATATTTCTGTAGGAAGGTTATCAATTTATCTGGAGGGTAGTATAACAGTCCAGAACCAAAAGGCATTTTTACTCCATGGAAAGCAAACGCAAACGATAAAGGGAG